CGTATGCTGCGACATGTGTGTATATTCCCACCCAAAAGAAAATGAAAGAAGAATTTCCTCTGTATGGATATTATTGCTCAACAGTAGAATGTTTGCCTGGTGTGCCTTAGGCCCTAGGTTTAACTCCCAATACTGCAAAGACACCAGCATACCAAAATAAGAACAGACAACAAACACCTTAAGAGTCTCTGTTATTACCTTGTGGTTCCTTGGCAGTTTCAAAGTATCTATCAGGCAAGCCAACTGTGGCTATTCAGTACAGTTGGTATTCACCGCCTGCCGTAATCTCTACCATTCCTAAATCTCTCTGTATTCCTTAGGCATGTGTTGTTACACACATCAGACCTTTCCGGGGGGGGGGGTTGGGGGGGGCAGTAAATCCCATCTCCCTCTGCTAAGTGGCTGAGTTGAGACTAGAACTTGAATCTTTGTGATTCAGGGCATGATGATTGGATTCCTTGAAATTTAATCCCCAACTCTATAAATTGAGGATTAAGTAGTGACTAAACACAGTAAGTCTCCATTTCTTGAGGAATTAGGCTAAGAGAGGATTAAGAGAGCTTGGCCAGGGGGTTGTAAGGCCAATGAAGAAGCAAAGCCAGGGAAAACTCAGGCTTGTCAGTCCCTACCACATCCACAGTTGAAGAGAATTTATTTCTCCTTGTTTATTAATCAAAGACAGCTGTAACTGTCGCTTGTAGTGTTTTGAAACTCCCAATTAGCAGGAGATAATTGCACATGCAGCAGTCAGCTGACTATTGCCAAAAGCAGAGAAATGGGCGCTTTTGTGTCTTCGGTCTTGGTGTGGGTGGCTTCCATCAAAGATGGGAAATACTGACTTACATCTTGCAAACCTCATGCCAGCTTGGGTCCACCTGAATCTCAAATCCTACCAAGTTTAGGAGAACAGTGTATCATTGCCTGGGAGAAGAAGAGCTAACTGTACTCAAGAAGTACCCTTTCAGAAAAGGGGCTGGGCACAGTGGTGGTAAGGACCTGGGGTCTGAACTACTGAGGAGACTGAAGCCTGCTACCTGGAAGTTCAAGCCCAAGGGATGATGAGTTCAAGGTCAACCTGAGAAACTTAGTGGGACTGTCTCAAAATAAAAAAAGGGTAATGCCTCAGAGGGAGAGGACTTACCAACACAGGAAAGGCCCTGAGCTCCATCCCCAGTACTGCAAAAAGAAAAGAAGACACTAAACTAAATAAAATATTGAAAAGGTAGCAGGCTTATCCCCATCAGAGGGAACAAGTGCATCTTCTTGTGGCATATGAGGTTAGCCTGTGTTTTCTGTGTGTCTGTTCCTTGGGGTGGCGGAGAGGATGGTAGTTCAGTGGAATCAATGTCCAGCGTGCATTTTAGAGTTTCCCCACCGTGTTCTGAAGCATGCTTCATGAATTACTGTGGATTTTAACCTAGCCCTTCCCAGTGTTGTGAGTATTAATGAGACCATCTAGGACAAACTTCTGCAGTACGAGGCACATGGGGAACAAGACTGGGACTCTCCTGGTTCCTTCAGGTGTATTCAAGAATTCTGTGTATCTGAATGTGTGTGTATGTGAGAGAGTGTGTGTATGTTAGTATATGTATGTGTGTGTGTATATTAGTGTGTGAGTGTGTGCATGTCTGAGTGTGTGTGAGTGTATGCATACATGAGAGTGTGTATATGTTAGTGTGTGTGATGGTTTGCATATGCTTGACCCAGGGAGTGGCACTGTTGGAAGATATGACCTTGTTGGAGCAGGTGTGACCTTGTTGGAAGAAGTGTGTCACTGTGGGTGTGGGCTTTAAGATCCTCACCGTAGCTGCCTGGAAGTCAGTATTCTGCTAGTTGTCTTCAGATGGAGATGGAGAACTCTCAGCTCCTCCTGCACCATGCCTGCCTGGATGCTGCCATGCTCCCACCTTGATGATAATGGACTGAACCTCTGAACCTGTAAGCCAGCTTAATTAAATGTTGGCCTTTATAAGACCTGCCTCGGTCATGGTGTCTGCTCACAGCAGTAAAACCCTAACTAAGACAGTGTGCGTACGTGTGTGTGTATATTAGTGTGTCTGAGTTTGTGAGTGTGTGTATGTCTGAGTGTGTGCCTGTGGAAGCTATATGTCAACCTCAGGAGTCATTCCCTAGGTGCTGTCTTCCTTGTTTTTAAGGTAGGGTCTCTCAGTGGCCAAGTCCTCTAGGCTTGCTGGCTAGTGAGCTCCAGAGATCTTTCTGTTTCTGCTTTCCCAGTGCTGGGATTGCAACAAGCATGAGCTACCTAGTGGACTTGGGGTATCAGACTCAGCTGGCTTTGAACTGCCTTGTCTCTGTGTCCTGAGTACTTGGGTGACAGGTATGTCTTGTTTCCATGCCTGACTCCATCCAATTCTAAGTTTCAGTGCCAAAAGCTTTGCTGTTGAGACACTGTTCTTTTACTGGCTCCAGAAAGAGATGACCTTCTGTTTTCTGTTCTTGAAGCACCTCATGTTTTGTGAAAGTCATCATTTTTTCACCCTTGAATATAGGATCCATGATGATTCGCCCCTTCTACCTATGCGTTGTCCTCTACAAAACGATGTGCCTTCCCCGTGGTATGCCGTCCGCATTGCATGGTAGTTAACGTGTGCACCAAAGCTGTACACGCGTTACATGTTACATGTATTTGTTCTTATAAACCTTACAATGGCTTTGTGAGGGAAGAAGTACAAGTAATGTCTCCTGTCAGTAGCTATCACTCTGGGAAGAGAAGAAAATGTCTGAGTGAGATAAATCACTCAGAGTCACACACATAAGTGAGGTGTGAACCCTGGGAGGTCTGCCCTTTTCTGAACGGAAATGAAGGAGGAGTGGATTGGGGGGGAGGGGTCTGGAAGGAGAGGAAGGAGGGAAAACTTCCGTCAGGGTGTAATATATGAGAGAATAAAAAAAAGGTGAGGTATTCAACCCATATCAGAGTATAATGTACTTGAGCCCCCTTCCTTCTATAGGATCATGCTATGTGACCTAGGCTTCACGTTCTAGACTCAGTCATTGCAGCCATACTGCCTCCTGTTGGCTTTGTTGAGTGTGTGCAGGCTTGTTTTTTCTTCTTTTGTAAAAAAATTGTGTGTGTGTGTGTGTTTGTGTGTGTGTGTGTGTATCGCGAGTGCCAGAGGACAACTTTGGATAGATGGTTCTGTCGTTCCACAGTATGAGTTCTGGGGATTGAATTCAGGTTGCAGGTCTCAGGGTTTGGAGGCAAGCGTCTTCGCCCACTGAGCCATCTTGTTGGCCCCCTACTTGGTATTTATCAGTTATTTGGAACCACTACATGTTTTGGAGGCGACCAATTATTTTTATTTCCTGTTAGCTGAACTGTTCCAAACCATGGAAAGACCAGAAGGGGGCACTCAAAAATCGACTCATTCTGGTGACTGACTGAGGTGCTGGCTTGGTTATCATTTGGGAAACAACAGTGCCATCTAGTGGAGTAACTTGCTAATATCAGGTCAAATTTCCCTCCTTTTCCTCCTCCCTCCCTTCCCCCTCCTGTTTCTTTTTCTCTCCCTCCCCACCTTCTTTTTCTGGGACAGGGTTTCTCTGTCTAGCCCTGTCTGTTCTAGAACTCACTTTGTAAAGACCACGATAGCCTCAAACTCATAGAGATCCAACTGCCTCTGCCTCCCTAGTGAGTACTGGGATCAAAGCCGTGTGCCACCACTCCCTAAGTATGGGAATTCTTTGAATTAGCTTAGTTTTATGCTTTGGATGCTAGAAAGGGGGTGTGGTGAGTAGGAACTGCCAACCTGTTATTGCTAAAGTAGATCAAGGCCAGCCTGTTCCTGGTCTTTCGGGTTAGTTGAACCCGTTGACTATTGTAAATAGTAATAGTATTGTAAAGAACTTTAGACACCCCTCTTCTGCTTTTCTTGCCAAGTACTTTCCATGGCGTACGTTGGCACATCTATCTTGAGGACTGCCTCTGGAATTTCTTCTCCAGCTCCCATCCCCCATGGCACTTGAGAAGAGTCAATCAGGTGACCCCAATATGCAATTACATGGGTTAGCAACACTGGAGCAAAGTTCTGTTACAAGACGCTTTAAATATATATTATTTAAAATGTTACCACGTTGTATAAAATTCTGCTTTTTTTTTTTTTGAGACATTTTCTAGCCGGGCAGTGGGGGCGCACGCCTTTAATCCCAGCACTTGGGAGGCAGAGGCAGGTGGATTTCTGAGTTCAAGGCCAGCCTGGTCTACAGAGTGAGTTCCAGGACAGCCAAAGCTATACAGAGAAACCCTGTCTCGAAAAACAAAACGAGAGAGAGAGAGAGAGAGAGAGAGAGAGAGAGAGAGAGAGAGAGAGAGAGAGAGAGAGAGATTGATTTTCTCTGTAGTCCTGGCTGTCCTTGAGCTGGTTTGGTAAACCAGGCTGGCTTTGAACTCATAGAGATCCGCCTGCCTCTGCCTCCCAAGTGCTGGGATTAAAGGTGTGTACCATCACAACCAGCTTTAGAGCTGAGCTTTGTGTTTATCCAGCCCTCAGAGACGGAAGAGCAAGGGTTTTGCTTAGTCCCTCCCTGACCCTCAGCCCTCTCTGGGGGCAGAGACCTGGTAGGTGGGGCAGATCCCAATCAAATCTTCCTGGCCCTCTTCCTTTCTAGTACCTGACAAGCCCCTCCCTTCTTACTGCACCAGCTCCTTGGAGGCAAGGGTGGGTTGAAGAAAAAAACGGATCACTGTCAGATTGCTTAAATAACAAAGTCGGAAGCTGTCAGTGCTTGCCTACCTCAGTATACATACTTGGGGATCCAGGAAGTAAGCTAGGCTCTTCTTTTTGCAGTCTAGACAGCAGCATAGCTGCCCTGGACTGTCAGCATTTAGCAGCTTTTCTCAGCTTAGCACCCTGCTTCTACCGAACGTCGCTTGGTTTTGTGATCTTATTTCTTTGTGTAGTTGAAGTTTGCATGACCTCTCCCAAGAGATGAGAAAGCTGGGGAAGTTCTAACATTCATCTCCTGTGTCTTTTCCTCAGCAGCCAGCAAAGCAGCCAACAGAGCAGCCACGACGATGATTCGAGCAGATTCCTGAGTCCTCGAGTGCGTGAAGAAAGGTAAGTTTGAAGAAACGGGAGTGGGGGAATGGCTGAGAATGGGATGAGGTCCCACCTCTGCTGCTTCTGCTGTGTGTGAGCGCTCCTGGGAAGTGGAAGAGGAGGTGTCTGGTCTTTGTCTTTGGAGAATGACTGGAAAGTGAAACTGTTGCCCAAGAATCCGGAGGGAACAACACTGTTGCAGATGCTGAAGGCATGGGGCTGGGTCTCTAAGGGAGGAAGCCGACTGCAGACCAAAGGCTCTGGGCAGGTTTAGGAGTTGAGTCATGCTTTTACTATGTTTTTTTAAAGAGAGGATGTCTCTATGTAGTCCTGACTGTCGGGAATTGTCTTTGTAGACCAGGCTGGCCTTGAACTCACAGAGGCTGCCTGTTTCTGCCTTCCAAATTCTGGGTTTCAATGCGTGTACGATACTTTAAAGGTTGAATGTAGCATGGCTCACGTAGGGGAAAGGAATTTTGTTTCATTTTTGTTTCGGGTAATGTATGTTGTACTTGAGCAGTATGTGTGTCCTGGGATGGGCACTCATGGTCCCTGAAAGCCAGATCATTTGGAGCGGAGCAGATTGTGTGTGTTGGGGGGTTATTGGAGAAGAGGTGGATATGTTGATAGAGAGGCTACCAGGGGAATATGGAGGCTCTTAAATGCTGGGCTGAGGATTTGAGAGATCCTGGTTCTGCGTTAGAGATACAAAGACCAGCCAGGGTCTGTTTCATTAGTACTGTGAGTATAAACAGGACCGTTTCTGGTCCTGATTAAGATAGTTTTTATATATATAAATCAAGAGAAGATGATTTGACCTGAAGTGCTGAACCTTGACCTTGGGCCTCTAGCACGCAGAACACACATTCTGAATTATAGCTGGAGAAAGTAGAGCAGCAGATGGTGAATTAAAAGAAAGCCATGGGGGCTCTGGGGTTTGTTAATTTTGGGTCAGCCTCTTGCTATGTAGCTTAGCCTGGACTGAATATCAGATCCTCCTCACTCACTTTCCTCAAGTCCTAAGATTATAAGGGTTTGCCAATGCATTTGGCTTGAGATATGTGTTTTAAAGGAGAAAATCGGGGCTGGAGAGATGGCTCAGTGGTTAAGAGCATTGACTGATCTTCCAGAGGTCCTGAGTTCAATTCCCAGCAACCATATGGTGGCTCACAGCCATATACTGACATCTGGTGCCTTCCTCTGGTCTGCAGACATACATGCAGGCAGAACATTGTATACATAATAAATAAATTAATAAATAAATAGAATAAAAAATAAGTAAAAAATAAAGTAAAGGAGAAAATCAATTGTATATTAGAAAAGGTCATTTACCTAAAAGATTTTTTTTAAAAAAAAATTACATTTAGTGCATGCCTGTGTGTGTGTATGGGGAGTACATGTATGTGTTTGGATGTTTGGGTGCATGTGGAGATTAGAGGACTATTTTCAGGAGTCTGTTTTCTTCATTTACCATGTGAGTCTTGGAGATTGAATTTGGTTTCTCAGGTTTGATGGCAAGCTTCTTCACCTGGTAAGCCATCTTGCCACTTCAAGATACATTTTGGGGGATTGGGGTCGGGGAGGCTTGTCAGTTTATGCCTATAACCCAGCACTCTGGAGTCAGGACTAGGGATAGGAAGATCCTTGAAACTGTAAAGTCAGTCTGGTCTCCATCGCTGCAGGCCTGCCCAAATCATGTATGGAGACCCTGTTTCAAAAAAAAAAAAAAACACAAACAAAATTATTTTGTAAGTCTAATATTGACTAACTTGAAATGACTTCCTATGAAAAAGAATATAGGTTCTTTTGCTTATCAGCCACATAAAGGCCAATAATTGACCCTGCTGCCCAAATCTCAAGTGCTAAGATTATAGAGCTACCCTGCCCCACCCTTCTTCAGATGGGCTTTGAAGGGGTTGTGCATATTACAATCTGCATGAAACCAAGCAGATCGGGTTAGTGTAGTGATCTGTTTTGTTATTTTTCTTTCAAAATGAATTTTACAACCAAGAGAATGGTTCTGAAGCAGTGTCATTTTAAGCGCTGGTTGAAAGCCAGGGGCAGGTGATACACACATCTGCTGTCCAAGGGGAAGGGACAGGTGGATCTCTGTGTTCTCGGTCAGCCTTGTCTTCAGAGTGAGTTCCGGGACAGCCAGGGCTAAACAGAGAAACCCTGTCTCTAAACAAAACAAAACGAAATAAAAACAAACACAAACAACCAAACAAGAGCTGGTTGACAGAATGAGGTTAGACCAGAAAAGAGGATGTTCTTGGTCAGTATAACGTCACTCACTTTTGAGCCAAGGTCTCGCTCTAGCTGACTCCTGTGCTTCCGTATTGCTGGGTACAGTCATGGGCTGCCATTCTCAGCTCTGTGTACAAAGTACTACGAAATAAAATGGAAATAGAATTAAAGTAGCGTAAGTTGTAAAAGAGAAGCATTCAGCTCAGGTTAGAGTGAAGCTAGCTCTGTGTGAGGCAACAGGCCCCACCAAGTAATGAACTCCCATTTCACAGGAGAAAGCAAGTCAGGGACAGGTAGTGTGTCAAAAGACAGTTCCCTAACCTCTTGATGGTGGGTATGGACATTATTTGGTGCCTTAGTTAGGGTTTTACTACTGTGAACAGACACCATAACCAAGGCAACTCTTATAAGGACAACATTTAGTTGGGGCTGGCTTACAGGTTCAGAGGTTCAGGCCATTATCATCAAGGCTGGAGCAGGACAGAATCCAGGCAGGCATGGTGCAGGAGGAACAGAGAATTCCCCATCTTCCTCTGAAGGCTGCTAGCAGAATACTTACTTCCAGGAAGATAGGATGAGGGTCCTAAGCCCATACCCACAGTGACACACCTACTCCAGCAAGGCCAAGCATATACAAACCATCACACTTGACATGTGTCAGAAGTGGGCTAGTCTCTGTACATGCTCCCATCTGAAATGTCCAGGTGCTGCCCCATGTGTGCCGTGACCACTCCCAGTGAAGTCTTTCCTTCTACTTGTGAGAACAAGTTCTCAGGGTCATACCCTATACTTGATTCTTCCTTTAATACGTTTTCACCCATCATTGGGCTGTAGTAGATTGAGATTTAAATCTAAAGACTGTCTGCAGTAAAGAGGATGTGACCCCATGTTGCCTGTGCCCTAGACAGCACTCTGCCTGACCCTACCTGCCCTTGGGAGTTGCCCTAGGGTGAGTTGGCACAGAGTCAATGGCACAGACTCCAGAGCAGGTGAGAAATGCTGCAGCAAGCTCCTTTAATACCCTCCACCCTCCACCGTGCCCCCATTGGTCCCAAGAAGGCAGCTCTTCTAAACAGCAGTTCCTGATTGGCTGGCATTATTTGTACCAGCAGTCCTTGGTCTCTCAGGCAGTCCTCAATTAGGTCCTCCTGCAGGAGCTACTTTTGTGGCTGTGTGGCCCCCAGCATTTACATAGAGGCAGCCCCCCTCCAGTTCCTTCTACAGCCCACGTGCCTTACTCTGTGTGTGTGTGTGTGTGTGTGTGTGTGTGTGTGTGTGTGTGTAAAGGGCCAGTGGAGATCAAAGGTCAATCTGTGGTGTATTTCTTCAGGTGCCATCCATCATCTCCCTCCCTCCCTCCCTCCCTCCTTCCTTCCCTCCCTCCTTCCCTTCCTTTCTTTCTCTCTCTTTCCCTCTCTCCCTCTTTTCCTCCCTGCCTCTCTCCCTCTCTGTCCCTCTCTCCTTTCTTCCCTTCTCTAGTTCTTTCTTTTTCTTTTTTCTTTCACATAGAAGAAAGGCAAGGCCTCTCATTGGCCTGGAACTCATTGATTAAACTACCAGCAAGCCCCAGGGATCCATTTGTTTTTGCCTCCCCCATGCTGGCTGTGATTATAATCTCAGGGCTCCTGGAGATGGAACTTCTGCTTATGTCAGCAAGCATTTCACTGATGGAGCCCCCGCTTCCAGCCCCTCACTCCTTTTGGAAGACTGCACTGTCTCATGAACGGCCACATTTCCTGTGCTGTCAGTCTTTCCTGTAATCTCCCCATTTACTCTGTAACATTCCTCTGGGGGGCAAAGGCAGTGGGGACTATCACAGACTGACAGTGGCCAAGAATGAGGCTGTCAATGGCTGCTTTTTAATACTCCGGATCATGAAAGCTTGCTTCATAGAACAAGAAAAAAAAATACTGATTTAAAAAAATCTTAAAATTCTTTAAAATTACATTTCTTAAAAAAATAAGATGCTTTTTTAGTTGGTTTAATAAAATATTGATTCTTTTCAACCCCAGCAAAGTCCAGGAGGGACATACTATTTAGAGACAAGATAACCACCTTACTTCAACTTGTCAAAGGGCAGTCACCATCTGATTGTCTCATTGTATGGGTATTACTGAATGTTCACATAAACTGAAATGGTTGTAGCATCTCTAGGAATCTAATCTTCCTGGACAAGCTCCATTGTTGACTGAAGTGAGCTTATGTAATCTGTGACCGTCTTAACAGTTGTAAATGAACCGTCTCTATCTGGTCCAATGGGGCAACCATGCTTTCCGGGGCAGCTATGACGTCAGGGAGAAAGGTTAATTTTATGTAATGAATCCATTTACTGGGAAACAGATAAGGAGTCAGAAGGAGGGCTGCCTCAGAAGTTGGAGACTTCTACACTCCTGCCAGGTTTCCAGTGAAAAGGAAAAGGGAGGACTTACTTTTGTGTGTGTGTGTGTGTGTGTGTAGACCATTAATCCACTTCCCTGCTTCTTGGAGAGACCAGTGCCAAGCTAAAATGATAGTCTTCAGGTTCACCCTAAACTAAACCAATTAGTTTCCCAGGTACCCAGCACGCACTTAGTCTGTTTCTCCTAGAGGCAGGGACTTGTAAACAAAGCACAGATTGTAGGAAAGGAGCTGTTTTACTGAGGACCCTTTGTGTGCAGCAGGTGAGTTTCGTGGTCTCAGCTGACCTTGATACCTTTCAGCAGCAGGAAAGTTGAGACTTGAAGTGGAGGTGCAGGTATGTAAATGCCATGGCCCGGCTGCAGTGCCCCTGC